AACTAGTACAGAATAAGCGTAACTGGTGAAGAGTGACTAACTGGTAAAACTCTAACAAAGCAGTGACATTTGATGGATATCTTGATTTTTTTAAAGCAGAATATGTGAAGTAATTCATGATAATACCACATTGTCTTTTTAAAGCACCTTTCAACCAGTGTTCTCAAATCCTTTAACAAGTTTACCCATGAATTTATCTCCTAATCCTGCTGTGAATTATGTTTCAGTCTCGGTTATGCTAAACTGTGCTGGCTTCATTCCTTTCCCTTCTCTTCCCTTCCCAACCACTGCTGCAAGTGATGACTCAGGTTAAGGAACTGATCCAGCTGAAAATTAACCAAATTTTGTTGTTGTTGTTATGATCAGTTTGCTGACCCGAGTGATGAGATAGGAACACAACTGGAGACAAAGGTGAGCCTGTTTGCTTTTTGTAGTTACCTTTTACAGGCCCACCTTCTCCTGCTCCATTGCACCCCATCAAGATTCGTGGACTAATGGTAGGGTAGTGTATTCTCCTAATACAGAGAAATTTGGAGTTAGAATTAAATTAAATTAGAATTAATAATAAAAAAGAGGGACTTCTCAATTTTTTTGCGGTGTTGCAGTAGGTGTATAGAAATGTCAATACTGTAAGTAGTGCTTAGGCATGACAAATGTTTTAGGAAGTTGTTTTAAATGATTTTCAGTTATAACATCCAAGTTTTCTAATGCATATGCATGAGGAAATATGGTTTTGCCATGCCTAAGCATGGATGAGCAGGAGACAGATACACTTTGGCGTCATCCTAAGAATAGGGACACTTCTGCATCTGCCATTGCAGAGACAGATTAGAGACAGTCGTCACTCCAAGAACTGGCTTCTGAAGCTGATGAAAAGGGGTCAGAGCTGACCTGGAGATGGAGAGTGGACTGGACCAGACGTGACGGGTCACAGCCCAAATGAATGTGGGAGAAGAGACAGTCTTGTATGCGCAGTTACACAAGTGTCACACATTTTGTATTGTATCTGATGCAATTTTGGGGGGAATGTCTGAACCTTTCACAATGTTGCTCTACCAGTCTTTTTAAGTGGATGGAAGTGTCAAACAGTTGCGTTCGCAGAGCAGTGTACAGGGTAGTTCTCTGCTGCATGAGGTAGAGGTACTTGATAGTCTTGATGAATGGAGTCATACTAGAATAGCTTAACAGGAGATGAAATATATGTGTGTATAAGTGTTTGAAAAATTAATCTGTAAGTGCATATCACATGGCAGCAAGATGAGTACAAGAAGGCCATCGGCATCCTGACTTGTGTCAGGAGCAGTGTGGCCAGCAGCAGTACAGAGGTGATTGTGCCCCTGTACTTGGCACTGGTGAGGCCGCACGTCGAGTGCTGTGTTCAGTTTTGGGCCCCTCACTACAAGAAGGACATTGAGGTGCTGGAGCATGTCCAGAGAAGGGCAACGAAGCTGATGAGGGGTCTAGAGAACAAGTCTTGTGAGGAGCAGCTGAGGGAACTGGGGCTGTTCAGTCTGGAGGAGACGTTATTGCTCTCTACAACTACCTGAAAGGAGGTTGTGGTGAGGCAGGTGTTGGTCTCTTCTCCCAAGTAACTAGCGACAGGACAAAGAGGCAATGGCCTCAAGTTGCGTCAGGGGAGGTTTGGGTTGGATATTAGGAAAAATTTCTTCACTGAAAGAGTGGTCAGACATTGGAACAGGCTGCCCAGGGAGGTGGTTGAGTCCCCATCCCTGGAGGTGTTCAAAAAACGTGTAGATGTGGCACTTCAGGATATGGTTTAGCAGGCATGGTGGTGCTGGGTTGATGGTTGGACTTGATGATTTTAGAGGTCTTTTCCAAACTTAATGATTCTGTGACATTTTAAACTGGCATGCTTTCATAGGTTTGGCAAAACGCAGTGAAACTGGTGAGTCCAGGTTTACTGAATAGGGTGAGCACAACGACTTTTAGAGCTAGGGATATTTGTGAAAAACATACATAGCCTGTTGGCGTGAAAAGAACCCCTCACTGCTATTTGCTTATGTTTAAATGAAGAAAAATACACGACTGTATTACATGTTTTAGAAACCGTACTTTGAAATACAGACTCTGAACAAGCGTTGCAAAGTCAAGCTCTCCAAAGTCAGGGAATTTCAGAGTATGGGTTGTGCAAAACATGTTTTCCTCTTCGGCGTTGCTCCTTTCCCTGCACCTCCAACTCCTTTTCCTTTCTGTGTGAAACCAGCTGCTTCCTTCTCCTCCATCACCCTGGGCACTGCTGTTGAGGTTACAGGTGCTCAGGTTTTCCAGCGCCCAAGTGCTTTTTTCAGCCAAGACGAGGGCCGGAAAGTAAAGCAGTGCGTAGTGCTGAGGTCTCGCAGAGGCCGTGGCTGACGAGTGCTGACAGGCTGCACATGCCCCAAGGATGCGTGTTGGAGATGTCTTGGCTAGGATGGGTAGATTTCATGGCAGCGACAAAATGTTCAGGGAACTTCACTTCCTTGAGAAAGTTCAAATAGTGGCTCTGAAAGGTAGAGGGAGCTGGGACAGAGTGTGTTTTCTCCAAACTCACTTCCTGAGAAAAATAACCCCTAAAAAGAATTCAGCCTTAGCTGCCAAGCAAAATGATACTCTGAGAAAGACGAGCTGTGTCTACAGTGGAGGATGTTTTTTTTAGCCTTGGCAAAGTGTTAATTTCAGACATTGTGAGTGGCACATTGGAGGCAGGTGAGAGACTACCAGATTTTTTTTCAAATAGAGACGGAGCTCCTCCCCCCCCTTTTTTTAATAAGGAAGGTGTCTTACTAGATAGGAAGTGTGCTTATGTTAAAAACAAAAGATACCACCACTTCACTGTTGCTGCTTGTTGTTCCTACTACTGCTGTAAGATCTGTGCTGCTTATTGCTCTTCAAAATGGTTGGTGTTTCACTGGAAAAGTAATAAAGGAAAAGGGTAAGATTAGAGTTTTTTCTGTCTTTTCTTTCTGATTTGTACATGTTTTCCCAAATCTTTTCCTGTGGGGGTTTTTTTTAGTAAAGGAACAGCTCTTCAGGTTGTAGTTAACCACAAGAATTAGGGTTGAAAGTCCATGGTTTAAATTCGTCCTGAATGTTAAGTCATCATTTCTAGTGGATATCACTGTGTCTTTGTAGTCATAAATGGATGAGTTAAAAATTCTAGGAGCAAGACTGCCCAGCAGTTCTATCACTGAGGTTACCCTCCAAGATCCTTGGCAGACACCATCTCCATGTGACGCCTGGGTGGAGACTGGCTTAGAAAAAATTTAAGTTGGGAGTCCTCAAAGGGCTATCACCATGAAACGCAAAATAAGGAAACATTGCAGATTTACTTGTCTTTTACTAGTATTTTTATTTAACTCTTTTATAAAGTAGTTACCCTCCAAAATACATTGTTTTTAAAATGTTTTATTTGGATTAATTAGATTTATTGCCTGGGTTATTCTGAGCTATTTTTAAAAGGCTTTAAGCATGTCTTCTGTGCATGTGTGTTAAAATTAAATTGGTGTACTGTTAGTGTATTTTTACTGTTGTAACAGGAAAAGCATTCTGACTTTTTTTAAATGAGTGATCATATGTATAATCAACTTGGTTAAAACTTCCTTCCTGGTAAGTGCAGCACTTCCTTTGCATCTGGATATGAGGGCGAGCAAGAAAAGCAGAACAGCTTAAACAAAGAATTTTTTTGTGTGAATGATCTTCCTTTAAAAAAATAGGAACTTCAGAAATTAACCAAATGAATCGTCTTCAGCAATTCGGCCTTCATTTTATTAGCAGGTAATAATTCTTTGTGCTTTGTCAGTTATAGCGGTGGTGTGTCCACAATCGTTGCTTTCCAGAACTTGAAAAAAAGCATTTTAGTTAGCATGCTATATTGTTTCAGTTTAACCTTTTATATTTTTATCTTCTTGTTTTGTTATTTGCTAAGGCATTGTTACATTGGTTTTAGTTATTCTAGTAGTTAGAGAAGGATTTTATGTGTAAAAAGCGTTGTCTGAAAAAGATTCGGTATGCTGCTGTAACTTGGCTCGTGTGAGCGTGCCCCATCAGCGCTGCCTTCCTCTTCCAAGCTCTCGGTGAATAATTTCCACTTTAATATTGTTCAGTGGAGATTAACTGCAAGCAACAATATATTTTGTTTACTGAAAGCTGATAAGGCTACTCGTGTTCAAAGTTGTTTTACAGGTGTCTTAGGTGTGATTTGATGTATAGGGTAATAAATCAGCATCAGTTTAGGAGTTTTTTTCTTCTGTAACAAAATAATAGTTTATACTGGAAGTGTTTACTTTTAAAATGGATGTTTTCAGTCTGGTGAATTGATTTATTTAAAAGAAGAACATCTAAGGATACTAGACTTGAATTCAGATGCACATGAAGTATCTGTCTTCAGAAGTAGTCCCTGACTTTTGAATCCTAAGGGCTTTTTTTGATGCAATTGCTTATTCCTCATCACTAAAAAGAGAGGCAGAGGAAAATGGGAATAGGCTCATCTCTGTCCAGTCTGCAGATAAATTGCTTGTTTTGTTACTTTCTGTCATTCTGGGAGCTCAGTAGGATCGCATTCTGCTCATACACGGTAACGTGTCATTTGATTTATATGAAAATCCACTTAAGTTAACATCAACAGCATCAAAACAGATGAGGCAGCAGAAGAATCAGTGCTTGATCAAATAGAAGCATGAACAAATCAGTGTAGTCAGACTGCTTATCCTCAGTGAAATCTAGGAAGGCTGCTTAAAAGCTCTATTTTAATTATTTAATCATTGGGTTGTCTTTTTTTCTATATTTGGTTTTGAATTGAATAGATTACATGTGAGGTGGTTTATATAAATCAAGTATTTATGATCAGAGATTAAGGGGAAGGGGAAACACAAAAAGTGTATACTTATCAGGATTTTGACTGGCTTGTGATTTTAATTAAGAAAAGTTAAAAAATAAGAGTAAAGAAAAATGTAAATAAGAAAGTAATCAAATGTTTGTATGTTTTGTAGATTTCTTCTGGCATGGAGTTGGGAGATTATGAACAGCCCGTTGTTATGAGAGAGGAAAACAAACGAAGGAGAAGAAGAATGAAACCGCACTGTACGTCAAGCAATTTGTCATCAATGGAACTGATATCCATTGAGTTTATTTTACCTACAAGCAATAAACATACCAAAGTACCAGAAATGATGTTACTCGAAATAGCTGGCAACTGTACGGTTGAGCAAATGAAAGCACAGATTTGGATGCGTGCAATAGAGATGAGTCAGACCACAGACTTCTACCACACATTCACCCCAGATCAATTTATTCTGCAGTATCAGAAGAAGGGGCAGTGGTATGAAATTTATGACAAACATCAAGTATTACAGACGTTGGACTGCATACTGTACTGGAAAGTGTTACAGAAGAAGGTAGGCAAGATCTATGTTGTCCAGAAACAAAAACCATCAGAAGAAGTTCAGGAATTTCAGCGGCAGCTTAACGATTTAATTGGTTACGATGTTACTGATGTAAGCAACGTGCATGATGATGAACTAGAATTTACCCGTCGCAGATTAGTCACGCCACGAATGATAGAAGTAGCCTGTAGAGATCCAAAATTGTATGCAATGCACCCATGGACTACATCTAAGCCACTCCCAGAATATTTATTTAAGAAAATCACTAATAATAACATTTTCATAATCATACATAGAGGAACAACTAGCCAAAAAATTAAAGTGTCAATTGATGACACTCCAGATATAATTCTCCACAGCTTTTTCACAAAAATTGCAAAAAAGAAGTCTTTGATGGACATTCCTGAAGATCATAGTGAACTGGATTTTGTTCTCAGGATTTGTGGCAGAGATGAGTACATTACTGGAGAGACACCAATCAAAGATTTTCACTGGATAAGACAGTGCCTTAAGAATGGGGAAGAAATTCACCTTGTCTTAGACAATCCTCCTGACCCGAGTGAGGATGAGGTTCAGAAGGAGGAGTGGCCCTTGGTGGATGACTGTACAGGAGTTACAGGGTATCATGAACAATTGACGATAGATGGAAAAGATCATGAGAGAGTCTTCACTATCTCTTTGTGGGATTGTAATAGGAAATTTAGGGTGAAAATAATTGGCATTGATATCCCAGTTTTACCTAGAAATACTGATCTTACTGTGTTTGTGGAGGCTAACATTCAACACGGGCAGCAGCTCCTGTCACAGAGGAGGACTCCATCGAAGCCTTTTACTGAGGAGGTTCTGTGGAATATTTGGTTGGAATTTGATATCAAAATTAAGGATTTGCCTAAAGGAGCACTCCTGAATCTTCAGATATACTGTGGCAAAGCACAGGGAGTGTCCACAAAGACAAACCTTCAGTCACATGAATCCCCCAACTCTGATTCAAAATGCAAAACTCAACTTCTCTATTATGTAAATCTTTTGTTGATAGATCACCGTTTCTTGCTACGAAGTGGGGAGTATGTCCTCCACATGTGGAAAATTCCAGGCAAGGGGGAAGAACAAGGAAGCATCAATGCAGACAAGCTCACATCAGCAACTAACCCGGATAAAGAAAACTCAATGGCTATCTCTATTGTACTGGACAAATATTGTCACCCAATTGCCTTGCCCAAGCACAGGATAACATCCGAGCCCCAAGGGGATAGGACACGAGCTGAAATGCCCAACCAGCTTCGCAAGCAACTTGAGGAGATCATAGCAACTGACCCACTTAATCCACTTTCTCCTGAGGACAAAGAACTGTTGTGGCACTTTAGATATGAAAGCGTAAAGCACCCCAAGGCGTATCCTAAGCTGCTTAGCTCTGTGAAATGGGGACAACAAGAAATAGTGGCCAAAACATACCAGTTGCTAGCTAAAAAGGAGGTTTGGGATCAAAGCACTTTAGATGTCGGACTCACAATGCAACTTCTGGACTGTAACTTTTCAGATGAAAATGTCCGAGCAATGGCAGTTCAAAAACTGGAAAGTTTAGAAGATGATGATGTTCTTCATTATCTTTTACAGCTTGTGCAGGTAAGGTGGATTTGCATTCTTGAACTCTCTCTTCTGGGAATATTTGCATTACCCTATCAATCATCATTTCCATCTTAGTAGGTCTAGTTAGTAATCCCTGGTTTTGAAGTCTTCAGTGTTTAGTCAAAGCAGCGGTAGTAACCAAATTAACCCAAAACACACTTTCTGCATTTCCCTTTTGCTGATGATGTTATTTTTGTGTTGCTGTTGCCTTGTGCCTTGTAATTTGTTCTTCTGGAAATTGTCAACACTAGCACAGCTATGACAGGAGCAAACCCTAACTGTGCTGTCTTTAATCCTGTTCATACAATCAGTGCGGTGGGCTTGTGCACACTCTGCTGACACTGGCAAGGCCTGAAGAAAAATCTGAGATTGGGTTTGAGATCAAGAATAACAGTGTAATTACATAGTATGTTGCAATGACTTCAGCCTTGTACTCTTAAGGGGACCAAATTTCTCTAGAAGCTTCCAAAACATTTTTAAAAGTAAGTGAAGAGTTGCTAGGACTCCATAACAAGATTAATTGATTCTGGGAAGTTGGGTGAAAAATTGTGTTTTTAATGGCAGTGAATCACCGCTGTATCGAATTGAAGCGCTTTGTGTGCAGATCTGCCAGATGAAACGTTGGGAAGGTTTATATCAGTTATAAAAGAAAATCGGTTTGTTTGCTTTTTTGCAATGTGGTGCTGGAGCTGGGCTGCCTGTCAGTGGCAAAGTCACATCTGATGGCTGATGAAAGGCGTACCGGGAAACGTGTCCCCTGAAGCAAGGCAATTCCCCGGGCTTCCCACACCGACCAGGGCTCTGGTTCGTGTGGAAAGGCTGTCGCCCCGCAGAGCAGGAAATGCAAAGAAGCAGAGGGCAGGACTGGCATTCAAAATTAAAAAGAAAAAAGCAACTGCTGCAGCCTGGGAAGCTGCAGGATGGGGCTTTTAATTTCTGCAGGTTCAGAGACTGCCCAGGTTCCCAGCAAAGGGAAGTTAGCATTTCAGATTTTGCTGCACATCAGTAGTGCCTTAAACAAGGCCTTTTTAGCCTTGTCTGTGCTTGTCTGAAGATTAGGCTCCCCAGGCAGAATTTATGCACTTCTGCATTAACCAAAGAAGCCGCTACGGTTACCTCATTGGGCCTCCCACATAGCTGCTTCTATATATATGCTTGGCTTGTGAGCTTTTACTGTCTACATGTGGCTCAGCAATTTTATTCGCTTTTGTAGCCAAATTAGGGATTTGGGATGGTGATTGGCTGATGCCAAAGTGCCTGAGAGAACAAGGGAAATACTGGGGTTTTTTCCATTTGTTTTTGAAATTACTTGTTTTCAGGAAGTAAAAAATCTCGAGAGTTTTAAGAGAAAATAGATCTCTCTAGCAGTAAATTAAATTGAACTCGTAGTACCTTAATTTCACTGTGTCATCTTTAGTAAGAAATGTAGTAAGAAATTAAAAGATTGCCATCCCTCAAAAGGAAAAAACCACTGGATCCCAACTTTTACCTCTCTGCTGCTTCCTGGAGCAGAGTATTGGTCCCACCGCGTATTTGAAAGTCTACATTTTTCAGAGAATGGATGTCACCCATTCCTCTGCTCTAATGGACACATCTGAGATGTTTCTGCTGCAAATGGTCGTCAGTTTTCACATGCATGCCTTCATGAAAGCTTTATGGCTTTTTTCACTCTGCACAGGATATTCCCATTTTACCTCCCAGTAGAGTTAGAAATCAAACAAACATTTTATTTCCCCCCAGGTTTATCCCAAATAGAGGCAGCCACGCCGTAAAACCCACTGAGCTTCCTATAAAGGTCTGTTGTTCTCTGTGTGCAGTTGATAAAACATGGATAGGATAGTTAAAATACAACAAAATCCACTGTGAAGCAAACATCAATGGCTGTACTGCTTGTATATGGCAGGGAGTAACGCTCCTCTGGTGAATTCACAAGGCAAAGGGACGTGCAGGGACCTGGTGAGGTGCCAGCAGATGTTTTTTAGTTGCTGGCTTTAATTGTTGCTCTTCAGATATTGTTATTTGACTTTGTGAAGAAAAAAGAAAAATGGGATTGACTTTTAAAAATAGTTATTTCTAAAACGTAAGCATAATGAGATGCTCATAATACATTTTTTGGGCAGCCTGTTCCAGTGCTCCGTCACCCTCAGAGGGAAGAAGTTCTTCCTCATGTTCAGACGGAACTTCCTGTGCTTCAGTTTGTGCCCATTGCCCCTTGTCCTGTCACTGGGCATTGCTGAAAAGAGCTTGGCCCCATCCTCCTGACACCCACCCTTCAGATATTTGTAGGCATTTATAAGGTCCCCTCGCAGCCTTCTCTTCTTCAGGCTGAACAAGCCCAGCTCCCTCAGTCTCTCCTCGCAGGGGAGATGTTCCAGTCCCCTCACCATTCTCTTAGCCCTCCGCTGGACTCTCTCCAGTAGCTCTTCATCCTTCTTGAAGTGGGGAGCCCAGAAGTGGACAGAGTACTCCAGATGAGGCCTCACTAGGGCAGTGTAGAGGGGAAGGAGAACCTCCCTCGTCCTGCTGGCCACACTCTTCTTGATGCACCCCAGGATCCCATTGGCTTTCTTGGCAGCCAGGGCACACTGCTGGCTCATGGTTAACCTGTCGTCCACCAGGACACCCAGGTCCCTCTCCGCAGAGCTGCTCTCCAGCAGGTCCACCCCAAGCCTGTACTGGTGCATGGGGTTATTCCTCCCCAGGTGCAGGACCCTGCATTTGCCTTTGTTGAACCCCATCAGGTTCCTCTCTGCCCAGCTTTCCAGCCTATCCAGGTCACGCTGAATGGCAGCATGACTTTTTCTAGTATTCTTTTATGTTAAAATATATTTGCAACCTTAATATAAGGAGGTTTTGTTTTGAAGCAATGGCCCGGTTGTTTGGCTGTATTTAATTCTTAAATTGTTTTTCAGGGATATGCACTGAGAACATTTGGCACAGTATATACTGGAATGAGGTTTTAAATAGGCATTTGTGGAACTGTAAGCAAATCCATTTGAATTTATCTGATAATTATTGCTTTTGGGTGGGTTATTGCAGTGAAAATGAATTTTTATTTAAAACCCCTCATACCTCATAATGTCACACACAAAGTAAAAGGATCTATATATTTTTAAATCAGTTTATGTTTGGGAGTTCTCATTATCTTTCCTAAATAAGATGGTGTTGCTTGGGGAAATAAAACAGTGTTGCAGAGGCAGTCAAGGCAGTTCTTGCAGAATTCTGATACTGTAGAAGAGCAAGTCTGGTGCTTGGCTTTCTGGTCTGTCTCTCAGCGAGCAGCTGGAAAGAAGAAGTCTGTGTAGCGTTTTGGTAAGTTGGTTCATTCTAGAAGATTGACTGAAAAAGCTCTTTTTTTCTGATGAGTAAACCCACAGAACAATTAACATTTCAGAAATAGGGAAGATATTTTAATAATAAAAAAATACAACTATGTGCTGCAGTGCTTTTAAGAGTTTATAAAACCCTGTGGTTTGTTTGATGAATGTAGTAGACCTCTGCTGATGGCTTGGTTGCTTCTTTGCAAGCTGCAGACCATGGTGATCTTGAAAGAGCTATTATATTCTGTTGAATGACTGTCTCTAGGGGTTTGCATACTTTGTTGCTTCTGAAAGCTGAGCATGCTATATGCACCCGGCGCTCTGCACATCCCTTTGGTTTCCCTTAATCTCGCTACGTGCCACTTCCTGGCGCTCTGTTTCTAGAACCTGAAGCTGTTCACCAACCCCTCAGTCCACAACAGGGATTTTGTGACTCTGTTCCAGGGTTTGTATGCTTCTTATTTCTCTTTTCTTGCCATGAGAGACACATGTGTACCTTTTTTCCACCATTAATCTTAATAGAAACCTCCTATAAACTTGAGTCCCTCAAGCAACGGGAAAGAAGCTGCTGGAAAAACCACTTGAAGTGGACAAGTTCCCTGGCACAGCCCAGTACCTGGAAGCATGATAGTTTTCTGGTGGACCAATTCACTTGGTTATTGGGATGGGGGAGAGAATAACAGCAAAAAAATTCCAATCCTGACACTTCAGACAAGTTGTTGACTTTTTGTTTCCACCCTTTTTTGGCAGTAGCTTGGAAATATCTGTGGGCTTGGGTGGAGGGGAGCGGCTGTTGGAAGCGAAAAAATACATCTGTGCTCACAGAGTCATTAAAAAAAAAACTTTGGTGAAGTCTTCATCTTAATTGTACTCCAGTAATATAGGATGTGTGTCAGAGCCTTTATTCTATTTTGTTGTTCGTTTAGGGGCTAAAGGCCAGATTAGGCGCTCCAGAAAGCTGCTCCTGTATCCCGTGCTTGCTGGGGAACCCAGCAGTGAACCCTGGTGCCCCAGTCCCAAAGTGGCAGATAGTGTCAAAAACCAGTGCTTTATTACTGAAAATTTTTATTATTGAAATTTTTTATTTAAGAATTGTTATAAGTACCTAATTTCATTTGGCAGTAATCTTTTCAAGCCTTCTCAGTGCCAGTCCAACTGCAGACTGTTTTCTGATCTTGCTGATGTTTGCTGCAGCCCGAGAATGATGTTGCTTTGTTCACATGTCTTCATGTGCTCAGATTGGTCTCGCTGGTTAGCTACTGCCTGCGCTGCTTTATTTGTCGCATTAATAATATACCTGAAAAGAACCTGTTGCAAAGAAGTGCTTCTTGAATCAAATACAGAGTAGCCTTGCTTTGTTTTTGTCAGCTTTGTTTCCTTGAAAGACCTGCTTTGTTACACGTTTTCTACTCGTGCAGCAGTGTGTTCTCTAGATGTCATCAGTAAAGTGTAAGGGCAGTGGGATCTTAAATATGATAATAACATCTTCTGTGTTTGTGTTACTCAGGCTGTGAAATTTGAGCCGTATCATGACAGCGCATTAGCCAGATTTCTGCTAAAACGTGGTTTGAGAGTAAGTACTTCAAAATACAGCCAACTTACGTTAAAGTTACTAGTATTATTAAAACCCTTTGTCAAGAAATGTGCACTGATTGTAGTATTTTTCTTTACTTCTAGAACAAAAGAATTGGTCACTTCTTGTTTTGGTTCTTAAGAAGTGAGATTGCCCAGTCCATGCATTATCAACAGAGGTTTGCGGTCATCCTGGAAGCCTATCTTAGGGGCTGTGGAAAAGCAATGCTACACGATTTCATGAAGCAGGTTCAAGTAATTGAATTGCTGCATAAAGTCACAATGGAGATAAAATCAGTTTCTGCAGAAAAGTATGATGTCACTTCTCAAGGTATTTGCTAACAGGCATTTCTTCTTTTGTAATAATATTGTTTTTTCTCTTTGGATGTGAAAATCTCGGCAGCAAATAGTACTGTTTCTTTAGAAAATTCATGGATAAATTACTGTCAAAGGGCATCATTGTTACTTCTGTTAAAATGCCAGTGTAAGTTAATAGTGATTGAACAAATGACACATTTTTTTTGTCATTCCACCCCAAAAGGGGAAGAATATCAGTGTTGTAGACACACAGTATTTTCCCATGCTTTGGCTTATCTTCTTGAAGCTCATGCCATGCAGCTGGGAAACATCTAAGTTCTTGTACATAACCTTTAGCTGAGTGCCAGCACTGAAGAAACAAAAAACCCAGGACACAAATATTAACTGGAAATAAAGAGAAAGAAGTGACACTTGCCAAGAAACACAGCCTTACCCTAAGCAGTCATTAAAAGACTCTTGGCAAGAAGATCAGGGAGGAGTCCAGGACAGCCTCTGCTATGCCACAGAAGTGGCTGGTGGATCAGCAGTGAATATACAGAGCACATCTTTGGGGCTTTGCGAGGTGCGGAATGGGAGTCTTGTGAGACACAGACGTGGCGTTGTTATTTCTAGTTCCTGCAAGCACTGCTCTGGAAGCCACAGTAGGGTTATGCAATGCCTGTTTACTTCTGGGGTTTGCCTGCCTTTTTTTTCTCCCCAGCTTCCTTAAAAGCTTGTGTGTCATCATTCCTGTCAGTTGCTTGGTGTTGGGAGTAAGTGTGACAAGACATGTGACAATATTCAAATTCTGAAAGCTGTAGAGAGACCAGCTCTTCCTGCATATTCAGTCTGGTATGTTCCAGGCGAGGAAGACCTTGGTATGGAAAGCCTTTCCACTCTCGTTATGCAGAAGTGGCTGTGGTAGTGTTTCAAAAGAAATTTGAAGGAAATATGCATTTATTCTTCGATATATAAAGTAGTATCATTTACGTTACCACATAGTGTGAATTAGGGGACTTACTGAACCCTCATATAAAATATTCTTTCTAAACAACTTTCTAAAATATATCTTTAAATGCTTTGTAATAGAAATGTATTTGGTCAGAATCTAATGTTTTGGAAAGAAACTTTACAGCCTTGCAGATGTACATGTCTGCAACAGCAGTGGTTTCCATAATACATTATCTTTGAAGGATATGTGGGCAAAGAAGAAAAGTTTCAAGAGAAAGCAATCACATTAACACCCACCAGGTTTTGAAATTAAAGAATCTTTGTATGTAATGTACAGCAGAACATTGAAAGATGACTTATATAATTGACATTTTCAATGAATAAGGCTTCTTGAAACTGTGGAGTGTCCTACTAATGCTATATCTAATTTAGTTTATTCTCTGATTATTAAGGTTCTGATTTTTCCTACAGGCACCCTCTACTACTTACATTTTTAAAAACATATATTCTAAAATTTCTTCTTCAGTTTATTGCTTCTTTTTTGCCCTATCAGTTATAAAGTTCATAGCTGTTTATATTTTCAGTCTGAATGGTTTGGACTGTTTCATTTCATTATGTCATGCAGCCTTATCTAATTCTTGTATATATTTTTCTTCCTCCAGTATTTGTGGATTTTTTTAAAGAATAAATTCCTTCCTGTTAGGTCTGCACTAGTCCGGTAGCAGTCGTGCTGTCAAACTGTTTCTTTCATTTCTCATGTAATCTTTTTGCTTCTGTTTGAACAGAGTGAGTAATAATAAATAAATAAATTCTTAAGATCATAACATTACAATTTGCATAGGACTATATCCTTTCATCACTACTCTGTCAGATGATTTGTCTCCCAAGAATGTGTCTGTGCATCTGTTTCTTCTCTTAAAATGCACAGCACTTTGTTCTTAAGCCACATCAACTGGAAATTTTTTAGCAAGCACCTTCACTTGCGTTTTAAAATCAGCTAATTCCTAGTCTTTACTAGCTTCAATTGGTTGGCATACAATGTTCAAATTGCATTACATTACAGTGAGGACACTTACTGAGATCAAGCTAGATTTGTCTAGGAAATCAATAGTCACATTTTAGAAAGCTCTTTTGTGACCAAAGTTACTAGGGGTGTTTTGGTTTGGGTTTTGGGTTTTTTTGGAAAGGTGTCTAATTATGAAGTTCATTTATTAGGTCCTGTATATTGCTGTCAGATTTATCTGTTTTTTACCAGAAAACATACCACATTGGTCACCTGGCACTGCTAAGCATTTTTTTTTTTAAAGCCTGTAGGATAGATGTAACATTTGTGTTCTGTGAGTTCTCAGGTAATTCTCCTGGCTTGACTTTCTTAATTTGATAGCAGCTTTTGAAATGTCTTCATCTGCTGGGCATGACCCAGCAGTGTGCTCTTGCAGCCCAGAAGGCCAACTGTGCCCTGGCTACATCCCCAGCAGCGTGGCCAGGAGGGTGAGGGAGCGGATTCTGCCCAGGTAACCCTCGAGAAGGCCTTCGAGTACTTAAAGAGGGCCTCTAGGAAAGAAGTGGACAGACTTTTTAGCAGGGCCTGTAGCGACAGGACAAGGGGTAACAGTTTTAAACTAAAGGAGCGTAAATTTAGGTTGGATGTAAGGAAGAAATATTTTACGCTGAGGGCAGTGAAACACTGGCCCAGGTTGCTCAGAGAGGTGGTCGATGCCCCATCCCTGGAAACATTCACGGCCAGGTTGGATGGGGCTCTGAGCATCCTGGTCTAGTTGAAGATGTCCCTGCTCACTGCAGGGGGGTTGGGCTAGGTGACCTCTAAAGGTCCCTTCCAACCTAAAGCATTCTATGATTCTATGATTTTATAATTTTGTATATTAAGTATCCAGGTCCATGTCTAGCTTTCTCATTACGATTTTTGTTGCTCTTTAGTTTTTATGTCCAAAATTATTTGGACATGTATATGTAGCCTCTGCTGTGTAGCTACAGTTGCTTTTAGAACAGTGTTCAGGTCTTTGTCCTAATGCAGGGTAATAACCAGTGTATTGCTTATACTGCTAACGCCTGCTAGCTGAGGTGAGCAAACTGCATCATATACAGTATAATGCATACTGTTCAAAGCTGAAGATTCAGAAGCTTGATGTTTTATGAATGAAAAAGATTCAGTTTGTATATGAACATTAAAATTCTTGTTTGTATAAATTTACAGCAAATTTTCTTCCCATTGGAATGTGAGATTAACAGGGCTGCACTATGAAACCAGCTTTTAGGAGGACAGGAAATTCAGTATCTCTGTAGTTGAAGTCCTCATGATTACAGTCTAATTGATTCCAAGAACTCAAAAGCCCACGAGTCTGTTTGCGAGAGACAGGTCAAAATAATACTGGAAAATGCCAGGTGCTTTTAAATGCCTTCTGCCTTTGGGGTGGATAGGTCAACATTTCCTTGGCAGTTACAAGGGCAAAATATATTATGGTGTGTTGTACTGTGTTTTGTTTTGTTTTTTAAATGAAAAGTAAGATTTTAGTGTAATCTCCTGAGTTTTCAGAAGAACAGCAAGGACTGCGCAGTGCTTCTAGCGCTGTAGAGGGCATATGACTTCTGAGGTGATTGAAGACTTCATCTTTAGGTATCTGAAACAGTGCTGACCATTAATCGTGCAAGTTAAATAGTCTTCCTTCATTCCTCAAATCAAGACTACTTGAGGAAAGCAATTTAAAAAGTAGCTAGACAGAGAAGGTTTTTAGCTAAATTATGATGCTTAACAAGTTTGATTACCTATAATATTTTTGCCTTCCAACTTTTGATTTCATTGTGTTTTCTTACTTATAATTGCAGTTATTGCACAGCTGAGACAAAAGCTTGAAAAACTACAGAACAGCAAACTTCCAGAAAGTTTCAGAGTTCCATATGATCCTGGGCTAAGAGCAGGAGCCCTAGTGGTAAGTATATTCTGAGTTTCTGCAAATCCTTTTTGAAAAAAATCTCCTATTTGCAAGTTTGTGTTATATGGTATAAAATTTTTGCTAATATGGCTCAAGATCTTATTTCACTGTGAGTACGATGACGTTTCATGGACTCAGAAAGTTTTTGTTCCCAAAGCTATTTGCGTTTTTCTAAGTGTAATGACATGCCACCTAAAAACAGAACTAAAAAATGCAACAACCCGTAAAATCCTAATCATTAAATGGCAATTATGATTTTTCCATTAGTTTAATCCACTAACTAGGTAACTGACTTTTTTTTTTTTTTACGTTAAATACCTGTATAAAACATTTTGTCTGACTGCAGGGGCTTTGGGATGTTCAGTTTCTGTTCCTCCACTTACTTTCTCTGTCTTACCCTGATTCATATCTGTCATTAAGGTTTAGGTCCAGATCTTCATCTTACTAACAAAAATGTCTACCTTAGCTATTTCTAATTTTTCAATATCTCTATGTTGCTTTTGTTGCTTTTATTAGAAAACACAGTAAGATTTTGTTAGAAGTACATTAAGAAACACCTCAGGTTGTTTGTGTTGCTTTCTCCACTTTTGTGGTGAGATTGCAGTGGTTTATGTCGACTCAGAGTTAAAAACAATATTAATAAATCAGCAGATGTGTGGTGAAAGGGAATTGGCTCATGCAGCTGCTATGCAATGTGAGGTTAGAATTAGACGTAATTAGTTGAGAAAACATTTGAAATAATGCAATTTCAGTAACATCAGTGCTGAATTTCTCAAGATTAAAAATCATGCAGGATTAAAAATGTAATAAAATGAAATAGGGAATTTATTTTCTTATTTTATGAATGATTATGTTAAATTAGTTTCACAAATGCCATTGTCCCCATGAATTTGAACAATTTGCTAGGGGAATTGAATCAAGCAATCTGGAATAACTGAAGTTGCTAGAAGTCACAAGGGTGGATGATGTGATAAATTGCATTGGACAGTGACTGTGTTCCAGTTTTGCAAAGCACCTGTCTGAGTGCTGTTGGAAGAGTCCATATTTGCCATTTTTGTCAGAGTCTCTTATTCCTCGTTTAAAAGTTTGGGGTTTTTTTCTGTCTGAAGCAGATTTACACGCTAAATCCAGTTTCCAAGAGTCAAGGCATGCTTTTTCCTTTGTCACGGACAGTGCTAAAAGTTGTGCAGGATCACTGAGGCTTTATGTGGCAGTTGAATACCATTCCTTACATGTGCTTTCAGTGTGTTTCTTGTCGTATAACTGATTGGAAGCTGGCAAACTACTCTGTAGCTGGTGTGTAAAAAAGTTGTGTTGGAGTACAATGGCTAGCAAGCAATAAATGTGTCTTTCCCAGATAGAAAAATGTAAAGTAATGGCATCTAAGAAGAAACCCCTCTGGCTTGAGTTTAAATGTGCAGACCCAACAGCTCTATCAAATGAAACCATAGGCATAATCTTCAAACATGGAGATGACCTCCGTCAGGACATGCTTATTTTACAGGTATGATAGCTAAAATGTATAAAATCAACAGTGTGAATATTTTAAAATATTTTAAATTGTTTGACTTTGAGAAGTGTGTATACCTTATCTTTACTGTCCAGATGAAATATGAGGTTGTCTTTTGTTTTTCAAACGGTGTATAGGAAGGCTGACATCAAAACTGGATCTTCTTTCTTGTACTACATTTTTTTATGTTAGTGTGTTGTGGGTTAACCCCGATGGGATGAGGAAAGGAGAAAGGAAGAGTAAATGAAAACTTGTGGGATGAGATAAAAAATGTTTAATAAGCAAAGGAGAAGTGTAAGAAGGGAGAAAAACAAGTGATGCAAAGGCAGTCACTCACCACATCCCATGGGTAGACCAATGCCCAGCCAGTTCCTGCGCAAAAGATGGTTAACCTACCTAACCTCCTTCCTCTCTGTTTTATTTCTGAGCATGAAGCTATTCAGCATGGAATATTTCTTTGGTTGGTTCAGGTCGTCTGCCTGGTTATGTCCTCTCCCAACCTCTTGTGCACTCCCGATCTGTTCACAGTGGGGCAGAGTGAGAAGCAGAGGCAGCCTTGGCACTCTACTGTAAACACTGTTCAGCAATAGCTGGTTTGGTAGCACTTTGGGGAATATTATGGGAAAAAATTGGATATACTTGCTAATGTGTTCAATCTCAGCTCACGTAGAAATCATACAATATGTTTATTAATACTGTACAAAACAGTAGAGATTGCTTTGGCATAGGACAGGTGAGGAAATACAAACCCTGGTTCTCTAACTGATAATCTTGAATGGCTGCACACTTTCTGTATTTATTTCTTAATCTGTAAAATAGACCAGTAACTTTAGCCTTGTCTCAGAAGTCTGGGTAGTGTTATTTGCATGAGTAATAAGTAATGTTCAAACAATTTGAAATAACTTAGTATATGTGGTTGTTTTTATTAGATTCTTCGAATTATGGAATCCATTTGGGAAGCAGAATCCTTGGACCTCTGCTTATTACCGTATGGTTGTATTTCTACAGGGAACAAAATAGGTATGTGATCACAGTTACTGTCATTAGAAACTCAAAATACCATAGTTACAGGAGTTGTGTATAGAACTATTCAAGTGTGTACTGTGGTCCTGACATAATCAGCAGTTGTTAAACTTGCTCTGAGCCTCCTGCAGTTGTGTCTTAGCTGTGGTTTCTGCCTTTCTGATGGGTATCCTTCAGCTGCTGCACTAGCTTAACTGACTGTGATTCCTCTGCAAGTCCAACTGTTTGGGTCCTGCTGCAAGTTTCTCTGTAATAACAATATTTGGTATGAAAAAGCAGTGAAAGTGAGTGACTTATTCAAGATGTGTTTTGATGTGTTGATAGGAATAAAGCAGAGAAAAGAGTTAAAACTGCAAAACATTTATGTTTTTTTTCCTGACCTAAAGCTTCATGCCCTATACTACATAGAAGCAACAGCATTACTCAACAGGATGCGCGGGCAATATTTCTCAGGGGGCATTAGTTCCTGCAGCACAGGTTATCTGTTTTCCAGAATTCATGGTGGGAGAAATCAAGCAGTTGCTTACAAAGTTTGTGGAGAACTGTGCGATGGTGTGTGGAGCAACCTGATCAGCTCCGGAGGAGTCCAGTTACATCCAGAAATGCCAAACTGATGTATAATTTATGCATCCTGATGGCTCCAAACTCTTTGTGGTTGGATTTGCATATATTATGTACCCCTGACACATCCACATTGCACAGTTTCCTAGTATCCAGATAATACAGAACTGACTGTAGAGCCAATTTTGCTGAGCAGTTCTTGAACAATTGGCTGGAGGAAAGCCTTCTCAGTGTAGGAAAATTGACCATGCCCAAATGAAGCTATTGTGCTGAAAAAAAGGCTTTGGCTGGTATAAACAGTGTGTCAGTGAGACAGATTAGCAAATACAGCTCTGCCATTTACTTAAAGCTTGAACATGTGTGAAAATTAGCAAATTTGTTAATTCCTGTCATTGGTGTAGCTGGCAGTATGATAGTAAATGCATAGATGGATAAAATAACAGTAGCATAAATATTGCTATGTGTCTCCCATGACCTCCAGCCTTTTAGTTCTTTTCTTTTTTAGCAATATATTTTCCTTTATGGATAGAAGAATAATAAACTGAGTCCCAGTAAAATTAAGAACTCTTTTTAATATATATCTGTAATGTACTTCCTGTCTCAAATACATTGCCACGTAAGTTTCTAATTATCCTTTTCTTTTGGCTTCAAGATACCACAGCAATGTAGAAAACCCAAACTCACTGATAAAATATTTGGTAGTGTGACACAGAAGAGTTTCTTTTCTTCTAATATAGGTGTTTTAAATTTAAATAAATTGTATTGATAAAATTCTAATAATAAAGGAAATAGAACATTATATATCAAAATACTAACTAACTGTAAATACAAGGAAGCTCGGTTTTTTTCCTCTCCTTTAGGTATGTTATAACAAACCCAATTTTTTAGAGAGATTCTTAGGATTGAATTTAGTTTTCTTTAAAATCATCATAAGACAAGGTAATATGTTGAAGTAATGGAGGAAGGTGGAAGAATTCTGCCCATGATCCTAGCATTCGTATATTCAAGTTACAGACGTCATTATTCTTTTGTGTATTCTTAATTGACTCACCATCCTTCTATCCCAAGGAAATAATTGTTTATTTAGCTATACGCATGGGGAAGATGTAAGAATTTAGCATCCTTTCAGCACCACGGTAGGGGCACGGTTAATCACACAAAGACTCCTGTTCAGTTTGCTGAGAATACCTGCAGCCTAAATTAGTAATACCCAATGTGGGACACTTTGATGTGGAGCTTATGCTCGTTTGGAACAAAACCAAAGAGTAGTGGCACGCAAATGTTCTTTCACAGTACTCATTTGTGGTCTTCTTCCAAGCTTCTTTTTCCCTCCCTCTTAATATTTCCTGGAACTTGGGCAGTTTCTGTGTATTGACACAAGCACAATACCCCATTCTACTCTCGGCACCGGTGGCTTACACCTGATGTTAACATCCCCTCCAGTGTAGAGCTTTCTCAGTCTGTTGAAGACATCTGCATTCAAAGGAGTTTGCAGTTTTGGGTACCTCTGTCCTCTCCACTGCTGCTGCCAAACAGACCGCCGTAGGAACAACTTTCTCTTCTATTATCACTGGTAAAAGATCATACCCTATTCTTTCTCCCTTTGGCATGGCCATATGTTCCTGGCTCTGCAAGGCAGTTATCACTACTTACTATGCTGCATCACTGCCAAATTTGAGAAGTTCAAGCTGGCACTTAGTATAAAGGTCACCTGCTTTTGTACCGCAGATCCCCAGAAGCACATAGCATAGTGCATTTACTGCTGCACTTCCTCCCAGTTGAATACAGCCCAGCTGAGATCCTCTGTCGCAGTTACTGAAGCCTTCTCTAGGACTGACCATACCTACTGAGAGGCATGTCTGCATTTCGAAGGATTTGCCAGTAGAGCTGTACTATTCCAGCAGATAACTTTTTTTTTACCACAATACCTTTAAAATATTTACTTGGGCAGAATAAGCTGCACAACATTCTGTGTAAGTTTTACACCACTCCTTTGACAGTGCAGTCAGTTGCAGTGCTCATCAACATAGCTGTGCTGGGAGAAGTTCTAAATGCAAGAGAGAGCAAAAGATGCCTTCTGCAACCGCTCCACTCCACTGGAATCAAGAAGCTGTTGGCCGGTAGAGGGAGATTTGTGAGCACAGGCAGGGGAAGCCTTCTCAACAGCTGGAATGCAAACTAGAGCTCACTCCCAGGAGGAAAACAACAGCTTCAGAGAAACCACAGATATCAGAGAGGGAGCCAGACTGAAACTGAATCAGAAACTGCTTTGAATCGCTTCTAGGAGAAAGGGATATTTCTGTTTGCGTGCTTATCTTTGGGCTGGAGCTGCAGCGAGGCTTTTGCATAGAAGACACTGTTGAACTTGAACCAGAGGAAGAAAATATAATATTTCCAGTTACCAAATAAGTTCAACTAAAATCTGACCTTCCCACATACAGACATGCCCAGTATGATGGCAGACTGCAGTACATAGAATCACAGAATCATAGTATGGTTTGGGTTGGAAGAGACCTTTGAAGGTCATCTAGCCCAGCACCCCTGCAATGAACAGGGACATCTTCAACTAGATCAGGTTGCTCAGAGTGCCGTCCAACCTGGCTGTGAATGTTTCCAGGGATCTGCCACCTCTTTGGGCAACTTGTTCCAGTGTTTCACCACCCTCAGCATAAAAGATTTCTTCCTTATATCTAGACTGAATCCACCCTCTTTTAGTTCAAAACTGTTACTCCTTGTGCTATTACAACAGACCCTGCTAAAAAGACTGTCCATATCTTTCCTATAGGCCCCCTGTAAGTACTGGAAGGCCGCAGTAAGGTCTCCCTGCAGCCTTCTCTTCTCCAGGCTGAATAGCCCCAGCTCTCTCAGCCTTTCCTCCTAGCAGAGGTGCTCCAGCCCTCTGATCAATTTTGTGCCTTCTCTGGCCCTGCTCCAACAGGTCCATGTCTTTCCTGTGCTGAGGGCTCCAGAGCTGGCCGCAGGGCTCCCGGTGAGGTCTCACCAGAGCGGAGCAGAGGGGCAGAATCCCCTCCCTTGCCCTGCTGCCCATGCTGCTGGGCATGCAGTCCAGGGTATGATTGGCCTTCTGGGCTGCGAGCACACGTTGGTGGCTCATGTCCAGCTTTTTCATCAACCAACACCCCAGAGTCCTTCTCAGCAGGTCTGCTCTCAATCCCTTCATCCGCCAGTCATACGGATTCCAAGGATGGCCCCGACCCAGCTGCAGGACGCCACTCTTGTTCTTGTTGAACCTCATGAGGTTTACATGGGCCCACCTCTCAAGCCTTTCATGGTCCCTCTGGATGGCATGCCATCCCTCAGGCACATTGACCACACCGCTCAGTTTGGTGTCATCTGCAAACTTGCTGAGGGTGCACTTGATCCCTCTGTCTAGGTCATTGGTGAAGATATTAAACAGTACTGGTCCCAGTAGGGACCCCTGAGGGACAGCATTTGTCACCAGTCTCCATCTGGACATTGAGCCGTTGACCACTACCCTCTGGATGCTACCATCCAACCAATTCCTCATCCACTGAACAGTTCAAGCCACTCGATCATAGAAGGCGACTAGGTTGGTAAGGTAGGACTTGCCCTTGGTGAAGCCATAGCTGGCTCGAATCACCTCTCTGTCCTCCATGTGCCTTAGCATAGCTTCGAGGAGGATCTGTTCCATGGTCTTCCCAGGCACAGAGGTGAGGCTGACAGATCAGTAGTTCCCGGGGTCCTCCTTTCTACCCTTTTTAAAAATGGCTGCAATGTTTCCCTATTTCTAGTCACCAAGGACTTCACCTGACTGCCAAGGCTTTGCAAATATCATGAAGAGTGGCCTGGAAAATACATCAGCCAATTTCCTCAAGACTCTGGGATGCATGTCGTGAGGTCCACGAGA